ATGAATATTCATGACTAAGCAGGCAGTCCATTGTATTTGTTTTATCTTTGCCAGAATAGTGCCTATTCAGACAATAGCCTGTTACTCCTAGATATTGAAAAGCTCTTGGTACTTTTCTTCCTCTCATGGAATTTTTCATGCTCATTGCCTGTGGCACAATATTAACATTCTTCTGAAGCAACCCTAAGGAAGCTTTTGGAAAGCCAAGAAGCTTCCAGTTGAAAAATACACCAGGATGCTTCAGAAGTCTACCAGAGTGATTAGAGAAGTTTTTCACAGTGTAAGTCTGTGGTGAAAGCAGCTACATTTGCATTTAGGCAATTCAATCTCAGTGCAAGTCTGCGATACATTACAGCACAGCGATAGAATCTGTTTTTCTGGCCTTAATCCAATAACAATAAAATTCTATGAGTAACCTCAATACTTTGGGTTACTCCACTGAGTTTAATAGAATTGACCTCCTGAACCTTTAAGACATCTACTACATACTGTGCCCTACCTTTTTAAATATGAAGCAGGCTTTTGATGCCTATGATGGCCTCACATGGCGGCAGCCACCACTGCTCTTGTACAGCATTCTGAGTAGCAGTAGATGAATTTGCAAACATTTTGATTCCAACTAGGTGAGCACCTATAAATGTTATGAAGTATATCCATTAAAACTCCACAACCCCTTCCCTTAAACTGCGACCCTCACTGGCCTCATCAGAGTTAGGCGAAAGAGCACTAGCTGGCTCTCTCCTGCACATGGAAACGTTAAGGAGGAGTATTCATATTTTTTGTATGAAAAAAAAATTCTGACACTAGGAACTTTACTTTCATCAACAGGATTTTCCAAAGACAGTGACTTCCCTTCTTACGCCTCAAAGAGGATATTCCTAGGCATTTCATGTATACAATCAGAAATCTTGGATTCTGATGAGTTCACATACATACCACTCCTCTCTCTCTCTCAAGAAACAGCCTTTGTAGGTTTCTCAAAAAAAGCCGTCGTACTTACTTTTTCATATCAGCAGAGGACTTTCCAAGCTATGGTGATCTACCTTGGACACTGAAGCCATCACTTCAACAGCAATAGCAAACCAGCATCCTAGGCTTGGAGTATAACATTGTGCTTTTTAAAGTATTATCCATTGCAATGATCCATAGTACAGCATGATTTGAAATTGCTAGAAATATGAAATTGGAGTTTATCAACTACATGACAAAGTCTAGGATGCCACTGAAAGAGACAGCAGCAGAAACAGAGACTCAGAGAGTTTCTGAGAGAGAAACTCCCCAAACTGCAAACAAAAGCAAAAAGCAAACTAAACTGTAGATATATGATGACGCAGCACAAGGGTTGAAGTTTCACAACAGCTTATTTAGGCCAAAGTCATTCACCTGTCTATAAAGATCACAAAATAAAACTTGATTGAAATAATATTTTCTATTTCAAATAGTAAAATTCATCCTCACTGAAGGCTAATTTCAAATTATTGCTTCTTTACTAAAATGACAAGTCTTTGAAAAACAAGATGTTCTTGGGAGACATGGAGGACATAAGGAGAGCAGATGCAATTAGAAGCTCAATTACAGCATCACCACATGAAGTCTGCAGTATAATGAGGAAAATATAACAAGATTATCTAAAGAAACTGTAGGATGTTGTTTCTATATGAGCATTGCTGACATCTACAACAGTGCATGTAGATTTCCAGGCAAGGTGAAATTATGTTCAAGCAGATTTCTAGCTCCAGTTACCACTCTAAAATAATTACAAATGATTTCCCAATAGCTTGGCTACATGATTTAAGACATAATCCATATTAACTGCTACTTTACACTGCAACAACTGCCCTTCTGTTTTGCAGGTCTAACACAATGGTGAAATGAAAGTCTGGTTCTGAAGAGAACACTTCTCAGCAAAATTTGGAGAACATCAGAAGTGGCACAGGAATCGTAAAAGGAAGACAGAAAAAATAAGTGGGGTAAAACAACTGTCTTTGGAAACACAGTAGAAAATAGTTTTACATTTAATGAAGAAATCTCCTAAAATTGATGCACCTGTAATAGTAGCAATTTTCTAGCAACACAGAACAGATATATCAGATATTTTATGCTCAGGAGGTGCAAATCAAGAACGGGACTTCCTCTAGGATATAAATATATGAGAATAAATGTCTGAACTGCAGATGCTGAAGCAGAAAGGAGGAGTTTGCAACACATTTACTCTTACCAGCTGATGCCTCTTTGTGGAACAGGGAAAGCCTACTCTTACTGATGCTCTGCTAATAAGATTTTCAGCCACAGTGCTTCATATGCCGCCTAGCTTTCCATAGCTAACTGAAAGGCAGAGAACCTTTGTGATGAGCAACATGAAAGGTCTGCTTTTCTCATCCTTTGCCCTGCTGCCTTGATAAGTTCTCAGCCTCTTGTAGCCATGAGCAGAAGGCTTCCTGCTTGATTGAGTAGGTAGATGCATCAAAAATCCATTTGCTATTGTGGATATACATGAAGGGAATATAGATTTTTATCACTGCTCACCATGTTATTTTGCCTGTCAGAGCAAAAATTCCTCTATAATACAGAACAGGAGTGGACTTGGGGGCCTAATGTTTAGCATTATCCAGTGAGTCATCTTCTAATATTTAAAAATGTCTCTCCTTTCATGATCACATTAGGCTGGAGAAGTTGGGCTTTATTTTTCTTCTTTCTTTCAGCAGTATAACAGCTGTGGAAATGGGGGATGGGACAAATAAGGCCATAAGAAAAAATTTGATGCTGCAGCTGATCATTCACTGAAGTTCTAGTGAATCAGAAATAGACTGGGAGACAGCATCTCTCAAAGAAACTGAGGAACAGAGTGGATATATCACACTGTGTGGAATCAGTCACTTCCCCCTCGGGCCCAGCGCAGTCACAGCAAGGAAGCACTAACAAGCCTTTGTGTTGGGTGCACATGTGAAAGCTTTGGGGGCTGACAGTGGTTCTCCCCAAAGGGATTAAAGAAGTATGAATGATCTCTACAACCTCTATTATCAGATAATTCTTAAGTGTAATAAAGTGGTGACCTAGTTAAACCACATTCCTGTTCCTGGTGTCTCTTTTTTTTGTGGTGTCTGAGATAACAGGGAGATTATTTTGGCATCAATTTAATCTAGTTAAATAGCTTTACTGAAGATCTTTATCACTATAAATAATGGAGGTATTTGAAGTATTTGGTTACAATTCTAATTGAAGTTATCCAAAACAATGCCTCTCTAGCAATCCTCTTCTGCTGTTCCTTCACTCTGTCTGAAGAAAGTTATGAATGTTTTGAACAATTTTCAGCAACAGCTTAAAGGTACAAAACCAAACAAAAACAAAAACAACCAAAACCACGCAGTTTGCCCAAGTCTCTGATGAACATTTTAAAAATATCCGTGACATGTATCATGGAACATGGCAAAGTGATGTATTCAATCACTCTTCAGCAAAGAAAGATAAAGGTGAAAAAAGAAGATATCCAAAAGAGAAAATAACTGCCTTCTCTTTTTCAAAGAAAACAAACAAAAAAATCCTTAAAATTATTTGGAACATAACATCATCTGCTCTGATGTAGCACAGTGGGATGAAGTAATAAAAAGCATAAAGCATGTCTGCCTATCTAACATATAAAATTTGGATGTCTCCTGGCCAGCTGACTGACCTGAGACGTGAATGCATCATGGCTGGAACACAGGTACTTGGCTGGAATGTCTGTAATGAAGTCAGGATCATGAGTGGATGGTAAGTTCATGCTCAGGGGCTGTTTCCTATTTTTATAGACCTGTGGGAAAAAGCTATAATGATTAGATACATGAGGTCAGAGCTACTGGGAATTTAGCATAGCAGCAAGGGTTTTCCTTAATTTTCTGTTATTGAGTGCATGGAGTTCTACAGTATGTAATGCGTGATTCAGAATAATGAATCATAACACTGACTATGCAGTATGTCCTAAACATTATTAACATGGGATGCGCATTTGTAAAGGGGCACGCTGCCTGACAGCAGAGTGATTACTTTGACAGGCTAAGGAGACCAGGATGATTTTGCCAATGGTATTCACCTCAAGCAACAGTCACAGAATTCACTAATGTCACACAAAGGAAAACATTAGATACAACGCCTTCAGACATGGTCTGAAAATGTCTTTATCATCTTTTTCACCTATTCTGAAGGAGGAAAGGTGTTTAACAACATACAGGACACACAGCACAGGTCTTTACTACCTAGGCTATCTGAACATCCTTTGTCCTCTTGCCTACAGTACCTCTTCTGGATATCACTATTACCTTTGAAAAATCAGGGGGAGTAGCCACTGCACAGTATGCAGAGCTTTAAACATTTTAATTAGACAGAAAAGAGACATATGTGCTGTGTCTGGTACATGTGTACTGTGTCTAGTATGGTTATTTTCCTCATTAATAAAGCAGAACATAAATTAAATTCGCTTGTGATAAAATCTATTTCTACAGTTCATAACTACACTTTTATTAAAACCTCGAATGACTTACAGTGTTGAAGACAGGGTGATTTTCAGTCACTAGAGAATTTATTTTAAGGATAATCATGATTTCCAGGTAACCTTTCAGAAAGCCCGAAACCTTCTGAAAACAAAATTATTTTACAACAGATGAGCAACTAACTGAACAGAAGAAGGTTAGAGTTAACAGAATGGATAGATCTTGCTTTATGGCAAAGAGCATCTGCTCTTCTCTGTCTCATATAATGAAGAAGGTTGGAAGCAATATGAGGAGGGAAAACAGAAAGTGTATTGGCTGCATATAGTATGAGCCAAGCAAATGTGCAGCTAAATATTTAACAACCATAGAGAAGCAATAAACACTTACATTGAACACGTCCTACCTTTCATAACTACTGTCACATGTCAGACCTGGCTTGAAGACTTTCAATATGAGGTTAGAATAAAATAGCACAAATGAAAATAATGCCAATTTTCTGTTGCCCTGAAAGTATGAAAATGAATGTCTCCCCACCTGCTGTTTTAACTGATGTACTAATCTGTCCTTCTCTCGTTTAAGAGCCATTACTTCCTCTTGAGTCTTCTTTTTCTTTGAAGCAGACAGTTCAAGCAAGGCAATGTTTGCATCTTTTTCACTAATTGCAGCAAGCAAAGCTTCCTGTCTGATAAAATAAAATAAAAATTGTTCTATTATCATTAAAACAGAACATATACTACTACATCATACTACATGAGATGTTTCTTTTAACCACTAGGAGAACAATCAACTACCTTCTGAACACTCTTTAAATAGCAAACATTGTCAAGTCTAATCAAATCATGAAATAAACTGATTAGCCAAAAAAAGTTCTCTTTATAGATTTTTCATTATTTAACTATCCCATAAAACATTTATCTCAGTCTATTTTACTACAATATGATAGCTAACAATATTTCTGTGAAATCTCTTGCTTTTAAAAATCTTTGGTATTTATTTTTTTAAATTCACTTTCCCAAATTCTGGAATATCTTACATAAATCTGTTGTGAATTATTCAAATCAAACAGACTGAATAATAAAAAGCAAAGTGATACAGATAAAACATATTTTTATATTATCCTGTTAATTTGGTACCCTAGAGACCTCAGTACAGAAATCTCTGGACATCTTCCTCACATTTACTTAAACGTTTTCCTATGAATTTGTTATTATTCATTGTGTCACCACAAAACTGTAATTCTAGAAGTAAAATATAACATTTAGAACAGAGGCTCCTTGATCTAATTGTTCACAAAGAATCTTTTCCTCTGGAATGCTGACCCCTCAATCTCCATGAGCAAACAGAACCTTACAGCACTCAGAAACATATAGAATTACATAGAAGCTAGCAGGGGCACATCGTAAATAGTTTGTGAGGACATATGACAAAGGTAATTTTTACAACATGCAGTTGGAAGCACAGATCTTGCAGTATCTTATTATTTCTTATACTCTAAAATGCTCACGTTGGCAAGGCCATAATCTGTCCCTTATTTTCCTAAACAAAAGAAATATATTAATCTTCTGCAATGCATTCAATGACAGACTATGACTTATCAGCCAAGAAAAAGCATATAATACTTAATAGCTTTTAGAACAGAATATGTTATGGCCTATGCCTTTTTCCAGAACTATATAAGATCAATCATTAAAAAATAAACATGGATAAATGAGTCGTAAATTAACCTTAGGCTCCAACTACTAATAAATGTAAGAATACGGCTCATGAACTTCATACAGTCAAGGTGAGCTAGGAGTTTGGAATTCTCATAGTCCTTTGCTTGCCAGCAAAAAATGTCAAGAAAGCTATTTCACTTTTATTTCAAAGTTCCTAATGCATTAATGTAAATATTTATAGGACAATATTTCTGATGGAGTCAAAGAAAAACAACCCATTTATTTTACTCTCAAAGTTATAAGACATGGATCAATTTTAGATAAACAGTTGCATTTTATTCATACACTTAAATAATCTCATTTATTATTCTGTCTTCTTCATTTTAATCACAGTTAAATGATGTTTAAAAGAGGATGCCATAAGTCTCCAACAGTCTTAATTTAAATGAAAGCTATTAATTATTTTAAAGAACAGGTACTTTAAAAAAAATATCAGAGGGTCACAGATCCATAATGCTAATTTGAAATGTGATATAGGTATATTGTTTTCTATAAACCTCATAATAATGCATAAAACTTGCTGCATAGTAATTTGCAAAAGACTGCCAGTGTTTTCATGTTATGTGCTCAATACAATATCAATTCCATAACATTTTCATTAAAATCTTAAATTTTTAATGCACTGAAATAGAAGAGAGCTGATTTGCTACTGTGTTCAACAATTCCTCTCACCTTGCAGAAAGCAGAGAATTTATGCACCCTATAAAATCTAAATATGACCTCTTCTGAGCATCTGGCTCAAACAGAAATCAAAATGTAACACAATTTCAGCTTTTTCTCCACAGTAGCTTTTACATACAAGTCTATACTCTTCTGTTTTAGAAATATGTCCTAACCCTAGATGATGGGCTTTTTTTCCAGGGGTGATAACATAAGCTTTCTGACAGAAAGTGTCAGCAACAGGTAGTCTGTGGCTTTAAAGCCAAGAAACAGCATATTGCGTTATTACATAAAATACTCTTCTTCTAAATTAAATAAGATTAGGTTAGTCCCTCTACAGTTATCTGATAGCAGACTGTATTAAAATTACAAAGTAAGGTTAGTCAGAAGTTTTGGCAATGTTCCAGTGGTTTGCATCATGGAACATTTTCCAATTTCTAACTTGCATCAAGCAACAACTTTGTTGCTGTTTTGAACATTATTAATAAAAAGGTTTCGCAATGTTCCTCTGGTTTTCAGGATACATAGGACAAAGATTTGCCCTCTCTGCAATTAACACCAGTGGGATTAAATCCTAACCTTTAATTCATGGCGATCGTTGCTGTAAAGTAGGTGCCTCTGGTAAACAGCAAAATATAGATCTATTTATATCATAATTATCAGTCTAAAGATATACTTATTTAATATGTGAAGATAAAGATTGACATAACCATCACAAACCCAACACACTCAGAATGAAAACAGGTAAAGAAATCTACATCTCAGAAATTCCAAGGTTTGTAAATATATTTAGATTAATTTTTAAGTTACGTAAATTACCTCCATCCCAGCCAGACCCAATACAATGTCTGCTCATCTAATAGCAAATTTCATGGTAAATACTTGTCATCTATGAGGTTTCTAATGATATATAATGTTATTTCATTATGTGTAACACATATTATAGCTGTAAAAAGCAACAAACAGAAAAAAGGTTTTAAATTGACTTGAAAACTACATGAAGCTATACTGAAATTTTACTTCTCCTCCAAAATTTAGATTATTTCACTGCCTCAGAATTGGCAGTGAAAACACAAACCTGGCTAGTGAGGAAGAAGAGTCAGAACTACTGAATTATTTGGTATCATTTCAACATCTGATAATGGGATTCGCTCGCATCCATCTTTTTTGTATTGCCAGCCAAAAAGATCACACATTCTTGTGGTCATAACTGTTCAACTGTGCAACACTCTCTAGCCCCACTTTAAAGTGGCAGATGAGGTAAAACCTTCCACGGGAGAGGAGAGCCAGTCAACATGCTTTGAAAAAATCTGCACTCTGGATTCTGCAACCCCCAAACCAGAAGGTTCTGCAGACCCTAGCATGCTTTTTCTCAGCTGGTGGTGTTGAGGGATTATGAAAGCCAACCAGAAGTTATGAGAATGTTTTTGCAAGGGAAAGCTAACAAAATCTTTTTTCTCGATTGTCTTGTGGCTCACGGGACAATTCCATTCAGTACAGCACTTGTGCTATCTTGGGAAAATAAGTAACCAAACAGTTAATTCCAGGAAATAATGATTCATACCAAACACTTCCAGGAAATAGTGGTTCATAGCCATGTGAAATAGGTGCTGTCGTATGACTCCATAAGTGCTCCACTGAGATGCTCTAAGATTTGCATCAAACCCACAGCACATACACAAATTTGTATTGCCCCGCCCAAATTTTTGTGAACGTATTTTTTAATTCTTATCTTCATAGTAAATGTAAGTGGAGTTGCAAGGCCTTAAACCTACGAATGTTGAGAGACCACTGCACAAGAATACAAGGATGGGGATTTCTACTGAACTCCTTCCACAGTAATGCGGAATAATACGTCTACATAGGCAGACAGCTGAACGCAAATTCACACTGCCAGTACTCTTAAGGCTGCCCGAATGTGAGTCAGCTTCAGTTGAGAAGCTGTAAAGTCTCATGTATCTAAGAGACAAGGTGTTTCAGCTTGGGCGTAGTGCCACCAACACGCTGATGGTTTCCAGACAGGAACTGGCTCACAGTCTGCTCAGAGTGTGGGCAGAGCAAGCTTGCATCTGTCTGCACCTGTCTGCACAGACATACTCCTGGAGTATGTCGGCGTATTATCTGTGTCTATTATCATGGATAATCTGAACAGTAATAACCTCAAATATATAATCCAGTGGCTTTTAACCAGGCACCCGGGTTAACAAGAGTTTGGCAGAGCAGGACTGTATATTCTACCAAATGATACATGTTGGTTGCTTACATCCTTATTAATTAACTACTTCGATACAGAGGGAAGACAGAGAGACCTAACATTTTTTATTATTATTTTAGAGAGCACAAAATAAAGATGCAGATTTTGACATGGCATCCAAAAAAAACCAAAGCGGCCTCCTTTACTTCTGCATGGCCTAGCATACTACTAGAGTTACAGTTCCTCCACTAAGTCCCTGGGAGATAGAGGTTGAAAAATACCTCACCGTGCTGGTGAGGCATTGTAAATGAAGAGAGCCAAGCATTTATGAAGCAGCCTGTAGCTCTACATTATCATATCTCTTTTATTACTTATCACACACTAGTCTACCCACATCTGTGAAAGTTGCTGTGCAACCCTGTCAACATACTTCAAGTCTCCTATGGAGGAACGAAATCTGATGAACAGGAGCAATTTATTTTAGCTATGCAGTCACCCTGCTAAAAAATTACTATCACCATTTTTGCAGGAAACATTTGAAGTGAGGTTATCTCACCACTAGGAACAAGGCTAAGATGCCAGCAAAACAGCTGACAAAAATTACTCTCTCTCTTACAAACATGAAGTAAACTTCATTCAAGAATGTAAACAGGTGACAAGGTCTGTCTAAATCTCTCAGGTGAGTAATACACTTCCGCTTTGCTGCTAGAAACTGAAACTCATCATGCATTTCTGTGCAAGAATTTTTGAAAATCAAGACCTGAACTGGCACCAAGAACAACATACAGTCTGATATACTCTCCAGCTAACATGCTTAAGAGTGTAAGCGTAATTTATAATTCCTAATTATCTACTGTGTCAGGAAAAAAATAACTATCCAAACACAGTTCTATAGAGATGTTATCACTATTTGCAGCCAAAATGTCTCCTTATTGTTTAATAAATGATGGTAATAAAAGACATTTTAAAATAATTTATTAGAGCACTGAATTAAATGACATTCTTTAACAGTAATATTTATAAAGAGTAATCCTTTTTGCTTTTAGTAGTTTTTCCTCTCTTTTTTGGCAAACTAATCTGTTACACAAATAACAGGGTAGTACTTTTAACACC